AGGTTCATCAGCCCGCACGGGCAACAGCAACATACAGCAGCGCATCCGCGGTTGTCCCTCCGCAAACCTCCCGAACCTGGCACCGTTACAGCCTCTGGGTGACGGCACCTCCCCTGCCCCCTCCGACATGAATCGGCCGCTGCGTCGTCCCAAAAGCGGCTGCCTCCGGTTCAGCGATGGCGACGAGGTCGCCGTCTGGAGGACTGGTATCTGCGGGCTGAAATGGACCGCTGCGCTCATCGTATTCGTTTCTCTAAATCCGCCCAGCTTATGACAAGAAACAAAACGCACAAATATGACTATGCCCTTCCTCGATTCTTGAGAAACCAGAAAGATTCTCGAGAAAATGAAAACTGTGCGGAACCCGAAAGAATCTGAATCTCGGAAATCGGAAAAAAAAATTACAGGGGACCTGGATCCTGAACCTTAAAAACGAAGCCAGAAATGCCGATTGACGAGAGGTAAAGACAGGGCAGCCGTCGAATTGCAAGCTCGAACTCGAGGGTCTTCTTTGAAGAACAGAGTGAATAGAAGAAGAAGAAGACCCCGAAGAGAAATCAAACCAGAGGAGGTTTAAGGTCCATGAATATGGCAGTGATGAACAGACCAGGAGACGGCAAAGCTTGCAACGGTAGCCCTTGAACCTGAAATACCCACCAAGAAAACCGGTCAGGTACCAGGCGCCACTGGTTGAATTTCCTCTTCTCCCCCTCTTTTTGGGTCGAGTTTTATGTATACAATCTCCTGGCTTACGTCCACCTTTGACGGATTCTCAGTCTTCTTTTGGGTCCGTAGAGAACGGAAAATATGGATTTTGATTAAACTAAACAGATAAAAACAGAACAAGGAAGAGGGAGATTCGGAGAGGCTCTGAGGTGTTGTGTAATTTGTGTGTGCAAGGGAGATGTGAGGTACAGATAAATTATCTGATTGGATGGATTGAGTGGTGTGCATAAATGGAATGCAGGACGAGTGTGTACTTAATGTGTGTAATCAAGTTGTAACGCTTCGGGACAAGAAAACACGAGGGAGTATAAATATTATTCTTTTTAGCCTAGCAAAAATAAATGATATTTTAATTTTAATAAATTAAATAAATACACAAATTGTATTTAATAATAAATAAAATACCCAGATTTATTGTAAAAATAACATAAAATTGTAATGTACATGTCAATTGTCAATCACTTAATCACGGGTTGGAATAATATCGGAGTCGGGCCAAAAAAATCTTGACCCGGTTCTTGGGCGAAGACAATATGACAATAATGAGTTTTATAATTACTCTTGTCTCGTGCCAATTTATAGTAATATTTATTTATTTTTAGATGGTAAATAATTTAATAAAAAAATAAAAATAATACTTTATTTTCTAAAATTAAATTCCCAAACTAAGAATAAAATGGTAAATTTTATAAATAAATGTTCGCAAAATATTATAATTAAATTCACAACAAATATTTACATTATATTTACACATAATTTGTTCTCTATTTATAATTTTAATTATTAAAAATTCTATAAATTTAAAATATTTAGTCTGAATTGTAATGGGTATTAGTTATTGTTTAGATTATGTTTTTGAACTTTATAAATAATAAACAACGATGTTTTACCAAATGAGTTTTTAATTAAAAAAAAAAATTGGCTATTAGTTCAAACTCAGAAAAGAATACTGCATACATTATGTAATATATTAAAAATTAACATTAATTTATTATTATTATTATTATTATTATTTATACAGATTTATATATTTAGTAATTAAATAATACATACATATTAATTATTATATTATAATGTAAATAAATTTTAATTAATAATATAAATAAAAATAAGAATCCTGACTTTAATTATGAATTAAGTTTTAAGGATATTAAAATTCCAAACAATGAGAACATAAGTCTACTCCACATTATTCTAGATAGGCATTAAGCGGGCCATATCCGACGTGTCATTTCAGCATGTGCATTATATAAAATATTGATAAGTTACTTTATAAATTATTGGAATTTATACACTGTTTATGATATGATTACATGGCTTATAATTTATAAATACGAAAATTGTGTACATTTTGACTATAGATTGAAAATTACAAAATGTAAAAATATATAGTTTCTAAAATCTTGTATGAATTTTTAATAGTTAATATTTATTAGATGTAAAACGAGTACATCATAATAAGCAAAATCCAGAAAACCCATCTAAACATTTAACTCGGAGACCACTTAACTCAGAGAGATATATATATATATATATATATATATATGGGTAGATACGTATATATGTGTACGTAGAGCAGAATGGACCAGGATTAGTAAAATGGGACCTAATGTGTTGGAGACTTGGAGCAAGCTAAGCTGTGAAGGACACTACAGAGACTGTTCAAGTACCCCACATGACCTTCATGGCTTGAGTGGCTGCACCCCAGTTGTCCCGAGCCACGGGCCATGAGTCCCGCCACAACTGCGCCATCTGGGTCTGGCCTGACCAGTTTTAACACCGATGGGTCTGCGTCACTTGGGTCATTTTCTTACGGTAAACCAGTAAAAATTAATCGTAGTTACTTAATTTTACTGCCAAAATCGTCATTATCTAAAGTATTATATCATAGTTTATTTAATTATATTTTATTGATTTAGCAGTAAAAATAATATTAAACTTAAAAATCGAAATTTAATGAATGATAAGATTAGACTAAGAAATTCAGGAAACATCTAGAATAGTCCTGAAAAAAATGTTACCAACCGAAACATAAATAATACATTGAATTATGATGGTTCACGATATCTATATAAATATATATATATATATATATATATATATGATATGATATGATATGACAAGCAAGATGAGTCATATATTTTGAGGTTGATAGTGACCCCATAACTTTAATTTTGTGTACCCAATAAATTAGTAAAATCATAATATTCGATGGTCATAAATATAAATTTATTAAAAATATAAAATATTATTATTATATGTGATATTTAATTAAATAAAATTGATAATTTAATTTATTAGTGTATATTTATATACAAATTTTTTAAGTTTTTATTTTTTATATAATAAATTTATTTTAATATTATCATTAATAATATAATAATTAAAATAATTATATTTTATTTAAAAGTCATCACGAATTTCAATTAATTAATTAATGTTTTGATTGTTGCAGTTAAAAACGAATTATTTATTTTTTTAAAAAAACTACTACAGCAATGTCTCTATCATTTCGTGGGATTTAAAATCAGTGGAAGTATCAAATTGGGAGATGTATTGGTGTTAATGTCAAGGTTTATTTACACGATGGTTATATTGATGCCACTTGTTTGGAGGAGATTCTAAACCGTCATAAATCGGCTGCACGTCGTCGTTTTAGGTCATAGAGAAGAAAGTTGGGAGACCGTCGCTATTTATTTGCCAAACACGACTTTAACTTTCGGTCGTGACCACCATAACTTTACATTATATATATATATATATTTTTTTGGGTATACTTTTAGGATTTAAATTTATTTAATTACGAGTTGGACCAACCTTTTTTTTTTTAATTCAAAATTTGCCTTTTCTTTTAAAATATGATCAAGCGAAATAATTTAAATATATTCTCACAATTTCATTTGAATATCTCTAGAAATTTAAATTTTACGAGTTTGTAAATATATTTTACTAATTTTTTTAATTTAATTTATATATATTAATTGTTTAACATTTTAAAATTAATTATGTTTTACGTATTTGGGTTATTATTTAAATTTTTATTTTATATATTCTATTTTCTGAAATTAAAATTTTCAAAAAATTTATAAAATTAAACTTTAAACAAGGGTAAAACTGTCAATAAACTCAAACTTACAAACTGTCAGAAGTCCACACCTCACAAGCCCATAAAAGGCCAGCCCAACTCATAAGGCAGAGAGCTCATTGTCTTTTTGTTTTCAAATCCATTTTGTTTGGTTACGCCCAAGCCCATCCAACTCTTCCCTCACACCTCGTCTCTCTGCAACTCTTTCTCCCCACAATTTTCTTCTAATCTTCTTCGTCAGATCAAATTTCTTTCGCGGGTACTTAGTTTCCGGTTACGGAGCTGACACACGCCTTTTGTCGAACTCACGGTGCAGCCTTGGCTCTCCTATCCTCTTCCTTCTTCAGGTAATTTCATAAAACCAGAGCTCGTTATTCGCTTGAAGTCTAAACGTGCGGGTCTCGATTTTGTTATCGGTCGGTTATCTATACATTCATAGACTGGTTTTGTGTTTCATTTTCGAGATCGAATTTGATAAATTTGAATTGAGAATTTTGGACATTTCCGTGGCTGGATCTGTTAATCACCTTGGTTGTGATTTCATGTAGATTTTTATGTAAAATTGGAGGTTATAAACTCGAAATTGCTGATATCTATCTTCGGTCTCTTGAACTTTTCATTAACCGGCTAAATGTAAATCCAATGAAATGTAACAAAGTTACATATTAAAAACAAAGTCTCGTGCTGTGTGTAAATTTCACGAGAAACAAACGGGAAAAGAAACACGATTAGTCCTTAACGTAAACTCCTAGATCTAACCAAGGAAACACTATACTAGCCAAGCTAAGGAGCTCCGCATTACAAGATAAAGTGTTAGATGCTTAAAGTTAAAGTTATTGATTATTAAATACAAGTTCTGATTTGATTATCTGCTTGAAGATCCAGAAGCCCTTGTTAAACTGAAGAAGAGAAGACAAAAATGGAATCAGAGAGTGGTAAAGACACGATGTTGTCGTTACAGACTGTGGAAGGTCTCCTTCCTCTCGCCTCTGTCTCTCAACAACCTTACGTCTCTGAGCTTCTCTCCTTCACTCTGGATAGGCTACACAAGGTACATATGCGTGCATATCTTTTGGCACTGTTTGAATTACTTGTAAATTGAATACTTAATTCTGTAAGTTTTGTTCATTAATTTTATCGTGGTTTAAAGGAACCGGAGCTTCTACGAGTAGATGCAGAGCGAATTCAGAGGCAAATGCAGGAGGTGGCAGTTGGAAACTACCGTGCCTTCATTGCAGCAGCTGATGCATTGCTTGCAATAAGAGAGGAAGTGACTTCTATTGATAAACATCTTGAATCCCTGGTAATTACAAGATCTTTTTAAAAAAATTTCCATTCAGAATAGGAAAGTGCATTTCTTATGAGATGAAATGTCCAATATGTGTGTTTATCAAACATTGTGGACTTTCAAGTAGTACATGCATTGTTTTGGGAGGAAGTTATCTCAGAGTGGAAGTGCAAATTGGCAAGACAAAGTTCCAGTTAGGATCTGAAACTAGACAATGTGACATAGCACAATTTTTGATAATCTGACAGAGTGACGTTTGGTTGCATCACATAATCATAAAGCATAATAAATATAATGATTGGCTTGCGAGGCATATTATTAACATTTGCATACTCTCATCTCTCTAGATTCAAACTATGAAAATATAGAAAACTGATGGTCATGTTGGATTTTCTAATAGCTTGGTACTGGCAAGGAGAGATTATAACTGAAGCTCTTCTGATATGGTTTTCCTTGTTTTGCAGATAATTGAGATCCCAAAACTGACATCTGGTTGCACTGAATTCATTGAGTCTGCTGAACAGATTTTGGAGAAGAGGAAGATGAACCAAACATTGCTAGCAAATCACAGTACTTTACTTGACTTGCTTGAAATTCCTCAGCTTATGGACACGTATGTGGTTGACAAAACTGTAAAAGTTACTTGTTAAAATTCAACTAATGGCCAGCAAGCCAATGGATTCACTTGAGTTTGCCGTATACGCATATTACCTTTTTCATACCATCACATTTGGGACGATAACTCTAAGCTTAAACTGGTTTAGTGTTGAATGCATCTTAGTGGTATAATAAATCTTGATATTATTAAAGTTATTGATTCATTAGGATAAACATTAGTGCCTCTAATCAATTTCTAAAAGCTGCCAGCCAGGCTTCCTACTTTGTTTGTATGAAGTACATCATCAAATGAATTTAGAAATTCTATTTTATTGTGCTTATTTTAGTTACACCTCTTTGTAAACTTGGGGAAAAGGAATAATGTGAAAAAGATTGAGCATGCAACTGACTGTAAAGTGAAAATTTTGTTAGCTGGATGGGATGGATACTTTAAATACAGTCGCTTTATGGGTTTTTTTTTTTAATGGGATGGGCGGGATGACTGGAGATTTCACTTTTCTAGTGACTGCCATGAGGATTATTATTAATTTCCATATTCCTGCAGATGTGTGAGGAATGGAAATTATGATGAGGCTCTTGATTTGGAAGCATTTGTGTGCAAGCTTTCAACCATGCACCCCAAGTGAGTTATTCTGTGTTATATTCTTTGTCATCTTGTTCTGGCTACTGAATTCACAAGTCTTATTTGAATCCACTTTCTTCATGCTATTCTAGATTGCCTGTTATTCAAGCACTTGCTGCCGAAGTTAGACAGACAACCCAATCACTTCTTTTTCAGCTTCTCCAGAAGCTTCGATCCAATATACAGGTATCTTATCATAGTTATCTAATATGTTTGTTCTTTTATCATTAAACAATTATGATAGTTATGTTAACTACAAATGCAATAAGTGCAACCCAACTTATTTCGTTGTATGAATTGGAGCCTCAGTTCCATTTTATGAACGTGTATTTGTAGTGCAGTTACCAGAATGTCTGCGTATTATTGGATATTTACGCCGTATAGGAGTCTTTAGCGAGTACGAAATGCGTTTGCAGGTACGTTTTGTGGAATTCAAGTGCCTTTTATGCCTTTTCAATCTCTGCTGCTTTTTTTTTTTCTTCTTTTAGAAGAGGATTTGTTTTATAAATGTGCATTTAGTTGCTTTTCTATGGATCTTCATGTCTTCTTGTCTAATAGATCTCGTTTGTGTTTTAGTTTCTGAGATGTCGAGAGGCATGGCTTACTGGAATTCTTGAGGATCTGGATCAGAAAAATGCTTATGAGTACTTAAAGGGGATGATAAACTGTCATAGGATGCATCTGTTTGATGTTGTTAACCAGTACCGAGCAATATTTTTCTGATGATTCATCAGGAAATGTACGAAAATTACGATGGTGGGCTTCTTTTCAGTTGGGCTATGCATCAAATTACCTCACACCTGAAAACTCTTAAAGTCATGCTCCCAAAGATAACTGAAGGAGGATCTCTGTCAAATATCCTGGATCAGTGCATGGTAACAACTACAGTTTTAAATGCATTCAGTTCTGGCACATTTCTTTCATTTTAGAAATGTTGAGGATTGCTTATAGGCTATTTATATTATAAGCACCCCACATAATTTATCTTTTTGGTAAATTAAAGAATTGATTACAAGTTATAAGCACACTCTTAGCGAAAATAAATAAAAGAAACCCCCATGTGATTTTTTTTTAAATGAGTGTAAGGTGTTTATTCTTTTTTACATATTTAGATAACTAGTTATACTCATTTATTTTGTTTACCAAACATGTAATTGCATATTTTTAACTGCAAGTATTTTTATCCAATGTATAATTCCTATTTTTTAAACCAGCACGAGTGCTTTAAATTGTTTTTAAGAATCTAGTGATTAAGTGTTTTCTGTAAGCAGCTCCAAACACTAGCACGTCCATGATTCAGCATATCCAGTGGTGATTCATAATTTTTTGACAATAATAATTATTTGCTTCTTACTTTTGGGATATCCTTGCTCGCTATAATCCAAATCTTGTGTTTCCTCTTGTTTGAGACACTTTTGCCTCTGTCCTTTTTGTCATTTAAACTGCAGAGAGAAAGATGGATCGTAATAAAATTTTGAAGTTTATGATGATGTTCCTCGTATCTCTTTCTGGCAGTATTGTGCTATGGGGCTTGGTTGGGTTGGACTTGATTTCCGGGGATTGCTTCCACCACTTTTTGAGGAGTAAGCAAATGTCTTTTATTTGTTTCTCTTCTGATACAAAATATCTTTTGTAGTACAATTTTTAATTGATCTTAGAAACTGATTTTCTCACTGTACAGGGCAGTTCTCAATTTATTCTCAAAGAACATGAGTACAGCTGTTGAAAATTTTCAGGTGAGTGGTTGATAGTTGATATTTTGAAGTTAGTTTTTGTCACTAAATCCTTAAAGTTTATCATCAACGTGGGAAGAAGAACAATATCAGTTAGTAGTTGAACAGAATCTGTTGAAACTATTACAGTTATGGTGGTTGAATGGCGTCAGTTAGTAGCTGAATAAAATCTGTTGGAACTGTTAGCAAGTTGTTAAGTGTACCAAGTCAACTAAAAATAAGTTGTAGGAGACGTTTCAGGATAATTTCTGGCAGCTTAGTAACACAGTACACTTTCTCTCCCTTTTTCTCTCTCTCGATCTAGTTCTGTTCTCTCTCTCATCATCTCGTCAACTTCTTTACTCACCTATCTCAGTCATAAACCCAGAATACCATTGACTAGTCAGAGTTGATGTCTAGAGTTCCTGACAGTTTCCTTCTGATGCTTGAAAATCTGCAGTGTTAGTTTGGAATATCTATGCTGCTGTTTCACGTTCTGCTTTAAGTTTTTCTATTCCATCAGGCAGCCTACTGATTGGTGACTTACGGTTGCTAACTTGATATTGCCTTCGGATATACTGTTAACTTGAATTGATTACACTATAAATAACACATTGTAGGTTTTAGTTTCTGGCAAGCAGCCTACTGCTTGATAAGTTATGATTTCTACTTGATGTCTTTGCCCCCAGCTAGTGTTGGATTCACATCGATGGGTTCCACTACCAGCTGTTGGCTTTCCAGCAACTAGTGTTGGTGAAGAAAGTAAGGAGGACGTGACTCCCCCATCCTATCTAATGGAGCATCCACCTCTCGCTGTGTTCATTAATGGTGAGTGTGGTCTACAATTTTCTGGTCACCAATACTTTTCATGGCATGTACTTTGCTTCTTGTAATTTGCATAATGGTAAACCAAATAATAGTTGGGTTATTTGAAGTTCCATCCCATTAAGGTTGATAAGAGTGTTGTATGAATTTTTTTTTTTTTTTTTTTTTGGAAGCCAAACACCTTAATTTTTTATCGATAAGAAACTTAGAAGCTAAAATAGCATTCCATAAATCTAATTTTTTTGGAGCAATGTGACATTTTGGAATCAAAGATCATCTACATGGCCCCAAGGATGGATGGGACTGACAATTGGAAACCAAGCATACAATTTCATGTGGCACCTTTTCTAACTAGTATTGCCTCAAGAAGTTACATGAAGACTAGCAGAGAAGAATCACGAGATTCTTGAATCAGAAAAGTATCTTTGCTATTAAGTTCACAACATTCAATCTCACTCAAGGTGATGTAGGTGTATCTGCTGCAATGAACGAGCTGCGTCCTTGTGCCCCTTTAAGTTTGAAGCATATACTTGCGCAAGAATTAATAGAGGGATTGCGGGCTGTTAGTGACTCACTATTAAGGTACAATGCAACACGTATGCTCAGACAAAACGAGTCTGGGCTATTCTTCTCTCTTTGCCGAGCATTCATAGAGGTGAGGTTCTTATCGTTCTGGGCATATTGTTATTCATAGAGTTTCTCTTAGTAAGTCACTTAAAGTTTGCCTGTGCACTGGAAACTTCCCTTTGTTGTAGATTGCTTTCCCGCATTGTGCCACATGCTTTGGTCGTTGTTACCCCGGTGGTGTTGCTCTTATCACGGACGCAAAGAGTATATATGACGGGCTTGGCCGCTTGTTGACAGTTTCGCTTTCGAAAGAGGTGCCAAAACCAGATAGTAATGCAGATGGAAGTGCCATATCAGAAAATGGTGACCTATCTGCAGTTGAAAATGGGGTTACACCCACATCTGAAGAAAAGGAGGTTGAAGAGGAGCGGAACAGTTTGCCGTTGCAGACTGAAGAAAAGCCTGCAGATGAATGAAGCTTTTTCTTGAAGCGACTAGAACCCGTTCTTTTTTGCTCTTACAATTTATTGTTGATTTGATTTCTTTGTACTTTGTTCAAAATGTTCATTATATAATTAAATGATAGGGTTGTATTATTATGAAAGGAAAAAAGAAGAGTTTATACAACAGTGAGTGAAGTAGGGTCAGTCCAGTAGAGTCTTTCATATTTTGTAGTATTACGATGAAAATTTGAGTTTCGCAGTTTATAACGTAAGTGTTTGCATGTGGTTCTGAAATAAATTTGCTTTTGATCTTAGCCAAAATTTTGACTTGGTGTATCAAACTCGCTATAGTTTTGAAATTTGAGCTCGAGTAATTGTAACTAAAACCTGATGACAGATTTGGAGTTTCTTATTATATGTTTATATCTTAATTAATGTTCTGTTTGGGTTGGTTTCCCTTTTTCATTTCTAATTACTTTATAATTTCAATTCTTAATTTGGCCCTGGTGAGTGTTGTTTAATTCTACGAGTGAAAAACTAACAAAAGCAGGGCATGTAGCCAGATTATGGGCCTAAAACATTGACAACCCAATAAGAACAGCCTAATTTTAATTTAATATTTTTTTGCCACTTTTCAAGCAGTCCTATGAAATATTTCAGTTCTTTTAGTATAATCGACAATTGGTACGCCAGAGGTGCGTCTCTTCCAGTCCTGTCTGTATCAGAAAAGGGTTTTTCAAACATTCTAATGCCCGAATCGAATTGTTTCACGATATTCTGAATTTAGTTTTTGTCTCATTTTAATAAGTAAATAAGTAACATACTACCCTTTTAAAAGGCAAAGAGCCGACGTCCAAGTACCAATCTTTCCGCAGATGTGAGTTCTTGAGAAAATAAATTGCGAGAGATTAGAAACAATCAAGATAATATATATTTACAAAATAAAAACAATTAAATCCTTTAAAAACTTCAACTTGCGATGTTGATTAATCTCCAAAAAAAAAAGAAAAAAATGGTTTTATTTCTAAAGAATCTCTTTAAAAAAAATTACGAACAAGTAAATCAACATCTCTGAAAAAAATAATTTATATCTGTTCAACCAATTAGTCCTCCACGACATGCCAGCTACTATTTGATCGGTAGGTATTTTCTTCCAGCTGCTAACAATTCCGATTCTAAATTTAGAACAAATTCAAAATCTTTTTGTTTATTTATAAATTATATTCCAACCATAAATTTTTTTTTTTAAAAAAAAAAAATTAAAATTTTTATATAAATTAGAATATCACATTTTAAAATTTTAAACTTTATTATTATTATTATTATTATTTTCTTAATTATCAAGTATTATTAATGATTTGTTTGAGAATAATTCCATGCGGTCTAAACAATTTGAAGATTATCTTTACCCACTTTCTTTATTTACTACTAATTTTTATTTCCTTCTCCCACTTTGGCATATCTATTTATTTTTCCTCCCAAAATTGTCAGCTCATAATGTATACATACGTACACATACATATATATATGTATATATGCTATATACCAGCTGTATTCTGCGGTTCTACCAACACCACAACTTGTTTTAAAATGGAAAATCAGATTCTTGTTTGGCTTATTTGAAGATTGACCACCTTAATTATCTTGTCTTGATTCGTAGACAGTTCATGCGGTCATTAATTACAGTGTGAATGGCCAATAGATTAGTATTATACATTAATAATCATATAATGATAACAATTAATTACTAATGAAGTCTTAATAATAATCATAATAAAAGTCAAACTTAACACTAAAAATAAAAATAATCAAAATTTACACCAAACCCATAAACAAGATCAGATTTCTTCATTTATTTATTTACTTACACAGAAGAAATGAAACTAAAATCCCAAAAAGCAAATACAGTATTGACTGAGAGCTAATTATTATACAAACACTCTCCAAAATTCCAATTTAACCCAAAAATTTAAAATATTTTACAATCAGAATAATAGTTTTCTCAAGCGAGACCTTTGAGAATCTTGTACTCCATGATCCCTTTGTACAAAATTTGCCTGTTGACTGGCATTGAATCCATACATTTCCATTTGTCACCGTTGTTCATGTTGTTGTTGTTGTTGTTGTTACCGTTTACGGACTTTGTCAAATATTTTTTACGATACTTTTTATTGTTGGACGACGGATCGATCACGTCGTCCGCAAACCTAACCTTTTTCTTGACTTGATTTTGGTGACAAGACTTGTTAGATCCTAAAAAGTTGTAAGAAAAAAAATATAATAAATAAAATTGCATTTGGTATAAAAAATTAAAAAAATTAAAGGGAGATTTTTCTTTTTTGATTGATTAATAATTAGAAGAAATGTAAAGGAAAAGAGAAAAAATAATAACAATTACCACCCAATTCGAATTCAATCTTCTTCATGAACTCAGAGAGAAGACGTCTGTGGGCTTGTCTTGCAAGCAAAACTACACCTCCTGAAACTGCAAAAACCGCCATGAATCCCATTGAGTTCTCCATGATTATCTCTACAAAAATCTTTCTGATCCTTTCTGCAAATATATCTATGTAGATAGTGATTGGGATGATCATCAACTGAGGCTAGAAAAATATATGTATGGACAAGAACGTGGGGGAATCGGATAAGTGAAGAAGAAGAAGAAGAAGAAGAAGAGGAGGAGGAGAGAAGAGATTGAACATGGTTTAATTAGGGTTTATATATAAGGAGAGAGTATACGTATATATGGATGGATATATGGAGAAGAGGAAGAAGAGAATAACAACTGAAAGAGAAGATTAGGTAATATGGGAAAGAAGGCAATTAGAAATGGACGGTTTCTACAAACATTGAATTAAAATTAGGACCTTCCACCTTATTTATACTATCACCATTGATTTTTATATAGCCACTTCTTTGACTTACTTGGATTATCAAACGACACATCACGATCCCCCAAGTATATACCTATATGTATATATATACATATTTTATTTGAGAAATTGTAATTTTTAGAGAGACCCATAAAATAAAAATTCAAAAATAGATAATTTAAAAATATATCTTAAAATGGGAAGTTTTGTAATTTACTATAATAGTTTTTCAGTTTAACAAATTTAGTTTTTCATTACATGCATGCATGTATCCTGAAAATTAAATGGTTGGATTTCATTGCAGATTCTATTTTATGGTCGTCGTCATCATCATCATCACCTTTTTTGATTACCCAATAAATTATTTTATAATCATTACTAATTACCCAAGTTTTACTTTAATTAATTATTTTTTAATTTCTTAATGATTATGTCAATTTAGGAAATATTAGTGATAGCATTGTTTTGTTGTTTTCCTATTTTTTTTTTTAAAAAAAATTAAATTTTAATATATATACATTTTCAAAAAATTTATAATTAATCAATCTTTGTAGATTCATTAAAGTGATTCAAACTCGAATTGATAATTTTATAAATTTAAATATTTTTTTACTTAATTTTTAATTTTAAATGTTTTAAAAATATAATTAAGTAAAGTATACATTGTAATGGGAGGATTCATAAAATTATAAGAAATCTTTTTTTGTTTAATTTAATTTTCTTTTAGTAATTAATTGAATTTTATGTTTTTTTTTAATAAATGATTGATTAAACTTTCTTAGACAACTTAATTGGTCTAATTAACATACATTGTATATATTGATAAATAAGGGATTTCGTGTTCTTATTAAAGACTATGAAAAATGACATTAATTATTAATTAATTGGACTTTTTCTGTTTTTATGGAACAGAAAATAAATTAAAAAAAATAATATGACAAAATCTTATATGTCATCACTAATAATTCATGTATGGCCAGTGAGTTTGTTTAATTTTAAAATGATTTCATTTTTTTATAATTTAAAAATATTAAAAAATATTTTATTATGGATTTTATGAAAAAATTAATTATTTATGAAAAAATTAATTATTTATAATTAAAAAAAAACCATTAATAATTTACATATATTAAAAAAACCCATTCAAAACTCATGGGTTTGACATAAATTTGTCATTTATAGATAATATAATTTTTTTAATTTGATATGTTAACATTAATTAATTAAGGAGGATCGTTTTTAACAATAATAATAATAATAAGACGAGACTGTATAATTTGACCTCGATATTATTGGATCTTGAAAATTTTTAATTAAAAAATAAGACTAATAGCACAATAAAATAATTTATATTTTTATTTATAAACAATTCGTATTTTTAAAATATACATATACCAAATTTAAATAATCAAATATATTTTTTATTACAAAAAAAAAAAAGTCGACTTTCGAGGTAAGTTGAAGTTTTAATGATGGTTGGAAAACGGAGAGGATAAAACGGTCAATTCGAAGATGTAACGAAACGTTCCGTTAAACGGACGTGAGATGAACTGCTACGGCGCTTTTAAGAACAACTGAAGAGAACCAAGCGGTAGTTAAGTTTCGTTAATTTGACGATTTTAGCCTCTCTCTCCCTTTCCTCGTAACTTCCACAACGGTTTCCCTACGTCGTCGGTTTAAAAAAATAAAAATAAAAAATTTAAAAATCAATGAAAATTTTAATATATTTAATCTTAAAAATTACCATGTAAATATATTTTAGAAATAATTTTATTTTTTAATTAAAAATTTAAGTTTTTATTTTTTTTAATAATTATTATTTCTACAATTATTTATCATGCCTTTTATTTTCACAAATTTAAATTATTAAATTAACGGGAAACATATATTATTTGTATATCCATTCACTATCACTACATAAAACGTGGAAAGTATTTTATTATTTTGTGGGAGAGATTTAAGGTCCTTTGGAATTCCCCAAAGAGAAGAGTGACTGAGAATGATTTTGACACAGAGAAACAAAACTAAGTTACGAAAAATATATATTTTAATTAAAAAAATTTAATAATTATAAAATATTTTTTTATTTAAAAATATAATAAATTCGTACATCCTGACATAATTTTATTAAAAAATTAATAAATTAAACCATCAGTTTTAATGAATCAGAGTATTATAAAATGACGAACTCTACATTTTTATTAAAACTCAAATTTATGGAATAAAAAAGTTTTAACCGCAAAAAATTGTGTTGTTGGTTAATTGAATTAGTTATTGTGAACAACTAATTTTATAGTTGAATTGATGTTGTATGTACCAACTAACAAGAATTTATCATTTAATTAAAAAATATATGTATAATTTAATTAATAAATATATATATATATATTATTTAAAAATAATAATAAATTCACAAGATTATTGTATGTGGTGCTAAAGAATTAAAAACATTCAAATTAGTATATTTGTGAATTGATGTAGAGCTTAATAGTGTTGGTAATTTATAAGTTATTACAAGAATATTTTCAAGAAATTAGTGGGAAAAGAAAACTGAGACAAGGTCTCAAAAGAAAATCAAAGAGCATTCGAGCATAAAACAAATCTGGGAAATTTCTCCAGGGTAACTAGAAACATTTAGCAAAAAGAATAGTGAAGATTTCATAATCAAATATTTAGGATTTGATTAATTGAGTGATGTTGAGAATTGAATTGTGTTTATATATATAGATCATAAATAAGCTTAGTCTAAAAACGAAACTGGAAGAAATGGAATATTACATGACTATGTAGTGTGTGTGTGTGTGTGTGTGTGTATTTTAAAAAAGAACCTCATGACTCGTTTGAAAAAAATTCAAATTCGTTATCAAAATTTTACTATTACATTAATGAATTATGCTTTGATCCCAATTAAATAAAATATTATAGTTAGTGCATAATAAATGAAAGTAATTGGTTTTCTATTGATGAAGCGTGAATTTGTAATCCGCAAGCAAGTACAGGAACTATTTTTGTATTAAAATCTGAAATAGTCATTTTTGTTTTCTATAGAATTGTAAATAATTAATGCACAAATGAGAATAAAATAAGACAAACTAATTTTAGGGATACTTCACGTAGTCTAGGGTTCATTCTGTAATTACAGCAACAATACGAAAACAGTCCTGAATCCTGATCTCACTAGGTCTAATCATCAGCAATATAATAATATAATATATAGTTGAAATTCGCACGATCTAATCACGCAACTTCAGAGCAAGAAATCGGACTTAATAAAATAGTAGTATAATATTTTATAGAACGAAGTACTGAGGTTTCAAATTACAACCAAACAGTACATATATATATCTATATAACAGATTCGATACACTATGCCATCATAATCGAAGATCTATAGAAGTTAAAAAAAAAAAAAAAAGGAATTACAGAAAGAGAGAGAAGAGAAGAGATGAACCATTTTGGCTTCTTCATTTTCAGGAGGTGAAGTAGAAGATGGGATGAAGAGCAAGATGGAGGAGCTTGAAGCAGCAGCACGAGAAGGAAAGAAATACGACGCCGTAGACGATCCTTAGACCCATTTCAGATCAGATCTATTTCCTTTTCTTCTTCAATTCTCCGGCAATGGAGATCTTGTTCGAGAGAGAGAGAGAGACAGAAATAGCGAGCGGAGAGTGCGTGAGATTTGGATTTGGAATTTTGAATTTTTAAATGATAAATAAATAAATAAGACTCCAAACTTTCATGAGTGTTAATTTATGGATTATCCACACGTGTCGAGTTTATGATAGAAGAGTTTGCCACGTGGGAAGAGCGAACGGGGTAGGGTACGATTTGAGCGTGCAAGCAACGTTTTCCGTTATTATTGTTTTTGTGGGCTAAGGGCGGCCATAGGTATAACTAGAACGGAGATTTGGGAATGCTAAGACCATGTTTGGTTACATCCAAAATTAACTTTTAAAATATATTGTACTTGAAATGTAAATAAAAAATTGCACTTACATTTGAGATATACGTAAATATTGTATTTATGTGTAAATAAAAATTTCAAAAAAATGCCGAAAAGAGTTTTAATTTCTAAATTCATACCATATTTTTTAAATATTTTACATTTAATTTAAATATTTACAATACACAATTAAATTTAATATTTTTTATCGGTCTTACATAAATAAATTGATAATAATAAATTTATCGTCGAAAAATCGTTCATAGCCCAGTAATAAAACATTTCATTATAAATTAAAAATTTATTAATTCGAGATTAATTCATTCCATAAATAATAATAATAATAAAATTCAATATTTCTGTGAATAATAATGATAAAACCAGTACAAATTTAAACCATTAATATAATGCATGTGAAGAAGGCACATGGTCTTACATAAAAAAAATATAATGCACATGATGTTATCAATAAATAAATATATATATATATATATTATAGTGTACATGTGAGTATGAACTGTATCTATTGAGAAAGTTGAGATAAGGGTTTATCTTATTTGACAAATATATATATATATATATATATACTTCCTTCTTAGTCTTGAAAATGAGTTTCAAAGTAAATTGCATGGGTCAAATTGCTTATGAAATAAACATGCTTTTCCATAACATAAATGTTTGAAAAGATTTAAATGTTCATACTATCATATGCTTTTGTGCTTTAATAATTTTAGTCCAGCAGCCCAAACTTTCCATGACATAAATGTTTGAAAAGATAAAAAATGCTGCTGTGCCATCATGCTTGAAAACATCAATTGCTCTGTTTCTCAAATCCCGACCTATGCCTTATGCATATGTATATATTTGTTACGAGATTGTATTATCCGAAAAAAAAAAAAACTTTATACTACTAGTACCAAATGCACAATATCGAGTTAAAACAAAAATATAAAATTTCGATTAGATTTTATCATATTTACCAACTCCCTATCTCCCATACCATTGGTAATTGAATAAAAGAAATTCGAAGTCTCGAAACCTGCATACCATAACAGTGAACAGCGTACCTAATGCAAGAGGATTCAATCGACATAACTTTCGAAAGTAAGATGCTGCTAACCTATCTGCGGGAAAAACTGATCGGATTAATGACAGTTTCAAACTTATTATGCTCTACCAAACATGACAGAGCAAGGGGACTCCCTCCTCTTCCTATTTATAGCGGATGTTATCAGAGATATCCTTTATTGTTTTACAAAAATTATGGAGTTTGGAGTTGAGAATTTTAGGACACAATTTAGAGGATCCAAGTTGAATTATCTTTTACCCCTGATTCTTCTGACCAAGTCTGGTGCACATGCTGCCATGTAAACTCGTCTGGAGCTCCAGATTCCTGAAACCCGAATATTGATTATCACATCTTCAGAGATAGAAAATTAGAAAATAATATACGACATCAGTGTCTAATCATATACCATTGAGCTGAATTTAGAAGTGTTTTTGCAGCATTTCCGCTCCTCCCCTACAGAGAAAGCGAGATGTGAGCATTAGAAAATATTACATAGATAACTTGCTCATTGTAGCCATCATGATAAAAAGTGTTAGAAGAAATGAGGAAGCTACTAATATAATATGATTGTATTTGCTGCTTTCTTGTGCCATGTAATTCAAATTCTTGATGAGATTGAATCCATCCGGATTTTATAAAATTGACTAGACAAAATGTAGTAAATTTCATATATATATATATATATATATATAGATGAAGAAAATGCAGTCCCCTTGCGAAGGATAAGTATGAGAGTAAAAGACTCACCGCATAACTCCCATTTATCAAACTTTACAACCAATGTGCCAGGACTGATCTCTGTTGGCAGCACCTGATCTACCCAAACCCGAAATTGTTTACCCTGTTTATCTCCGTAGCATTTTCTTATTTCATTTATGCAGTCATGAAGGGATTTCTCAACACCAGAAGGATGGATGAGAACACCAGAAGGATCCTAAAAATCATAAGCACAAAGAAACAATCTAATTAGCCAGGAGAACATGAATTGATTTAATACCGCAGATTTTTAGTAAGATGGAAAAGAAAAAAGAAATAACATTGTAAGGACTAGAAAGTAGAAAGAATAGAAGGAAAAAAAAAAAAAAAAGTAATAATAATAAAAACGACGTCGTTTTAGAGAGGGGAAAAACGACGTCGTTTTGAAAGAAAGAAAAACGACGTCGTTTTGGGGTAGGCTGGCAGAGTATAAAAGGAGGTCGGGAAAGGGAGAAGGAAAAAAGGAGAAAAGAAAAAAAAAAAAAGAAAGAAAAGGAAAAAGAGAAAAAGAGAAAAGGAGGGAAGGAGGACAGCGGAGACGAAGAAGAAGAGGAAAGTTCCAGAAGGAGAGAGGAGAGAGTCGGGGCGGAGGGGAGCGAGAAGGGAGAGGGAAGGAGGCCGTGGACGGACGACGCGACCGGCAGGAAGAAGGAAGATGGAAACGGGAGGTACGGTGAAAATTTGAGTTGTTTGGTGTGGTGTGTGTGTGTAGAGAAATTTGGTTGCAGGTTGCGGCGTCGGCAATGGCGCGGCGGAGTGGAGCAGTGAAGGCAGGCCGTAAGCGTGGGGTTGTCCCGTGCGCTCACGGAGGTGATCGGGGAAGGAAGGGAAAGTATGGCGGTGTGGGAGGCGTGTGGGGAGCCGTGGGGAAGGATGGGGGTGGTACGGGTAGAACAGAGTGAGGAGGATGTGAGAGAACAATCTAGGGGGCGCGGGTGGGATAAAAACTCGAAGAGGACAGAAGAGGTGTGTGTGTGGTGTGTGCGTGGGTGGGGATGTGGAGGGAGCCGCTAATAGGCGGTGATGTGTTTCCCCGAAATGCACGGTGGTGAGGGCGTGTATGTGGCGTGAAACGGTGCAAGCTGAGAGGTTAATCGCCCTAGGTAGGCAAAAGTGTATAGGAACCGGGAGGAGGCAGGAGGATGGGGGAGGTAGCGGGTAGGGGGCAGTGGGAGAGGGAAGGGAGCTGGAAGGTACGGCAGAGGGGACTAGGAAGCAGGATTTGAGGGGGATTGGATGGGAGAAGAGGAGTAATGTGGTCAGTAGGAGTTAGCAAGTTAGAATGTTTGGGACTAGCATGGTATAAGGGGAGATGGGAGCATGCGGTTTGGGAGGGGAGATTTGGAGGCCGTTGGTAGGGGCGGGTTGAGTTGCCGATGTTGGTGGAGCAGGGAGGGGATATGTATGTGAGTGTGGCCTAGCAAGGCCGAGAGGGGTAGAAGGGTGCATGAGTCACGGATGGTGGTGACGGGAGGTGGAAATGTTTGTGTGTGTGCGTGGCCCAACGAGGTCGAGAGATGGAGGAGTGAGTATGAGTCGCCGATGTTGGTGACGCGAGAGGATGGTATTTGTGTGTGTGTGTGGCCTCTTTAGGTCGAGAGGTGGAGTGAGTATGAGTCGCCGATGTTGGTGACGCGAGACGATGGTATTTGTGTGTGTGTGTGGCCTCTTTAGGTCGAGAGGTGGAGGAGTGAGTGTGAGTCGCCGATGTTGGTGACGCGGAATAATGGTGTGTGGGTGTGTGCGTGGCCTATTAGGTCGAGAGGTGGAGATATAGGTGTGAGTCGCCGATATTGGTGACGTGGAATGAAGGTGGTTGGGTGTGTGTGTGTGTGGCCTCGTGAGGTCGGGAGATGGGGGAAGAGTGTATGAGTCGCCGATGTTGGTGACGAGAGTTAGTGGATGATTGTTGGGTGGGTGGGGTTGTTTGGCCGTGCTATTGCCTTGGAATGGGACCTTGATAATTAGTGTAGGGAGAGGGTTATGAGTTGTTTGGGGTTGGGTAGGATAAATGCATATAGACATTTCTGGAAATTCTTGTCACTGCATATTACACTTACAACTTGATTTTTATCGTATTGAGTTATGTGAACTCACTTCTCATCATTCACAGGTGGAGTAAGGACGGAATTGGGATCCGAGCGGCTGGTAACGGAGCCCCGTCGGTAGTGCCATAGGGCACAAGTTTTGTTTGTGATTTAAAGTAGTTTGAAAGGATGGTTTAGTCTGGATATTGAATATCTAGGAATGTTTGGTATTGTATTACTATGTGTTGTAGAGGTGGAGATGTATGTACAATTGATTTGGAACATGGAAGGTGGATAAATTTCTCTTGTGCATGGTTGGAATAATATGGATTTCGGTATTGTGTTGTATGGGTGCTTTATCGTACACCGTTAAGAAAAAAAAAACGGGGTGTTACAAACATAATCCTCTCACTTGAAGCACTAAATTCGGAATTTAAGAAAAAAATCAGAGAAATTACTGTTACAAGTTGATCAAATAGTGCTTCAGCTATCAAATAAATTTGCCAAGGGCATTGGCTCTAAGAAAGGGTTGGGGAGAGATACCAAAGGTTGATTTTTGGATTATTAGCAAAAAATCAGAAGATATAGGGTAAACTGGGACAAAAGAGATGCAACTCTTAATCCACTTGCTTTTGAAAGCTATTTACTGATGTAGATAAGTGAGCATCGAGTCATCGCAAATTCAAATAACATCAGCTCTGTATCTGAAAATTTTTCTTTCCAATACTACGAAAAGCTTGAGTAAAAAAAGAATCCTCATCAAGTGACTACAAAATTGGCCGATAGATCAAGTCATAGATCTACCTATTTGCTAACTAAGCAGGTGGAATGAATGGAGATGTTCCCCCAGAAGAGTAGTATGGAAAAAGTTGCTAAAACCACAATATAAAAAGGAGAAGAGGATATTTGACATACACAAGAAGCCTTCAGACTTGCCAAAAATGTCTCACAATTCTCAACTTCTCCTCGCCTCCACCTCTCATAAAATAAGTAAAATTTCACCACCTCATGACCCGGATTAACATTCTCTAGCTTGGACTTCATAAAGTTAGGAACATCTCTTGGAGAAAGGTTAGGACCTAGCTTGAAATGGCCAATAGCTTGTATGATTCCGGAGGCACACCTCTCTGTTGCATGGAATATTTTTGGGTTACCTTTA